CCAAAAAAGCACATCTTAATGCCAAGGATATTATAGCTCAGTGGTAGATGAAGTGCCTTTCATAAAACTGCACTGCAAAAATATTTCTTTTCTAGGCCCAGAGTTCAAGGCCCACGACCGACAAAATAAATAAATCAATACATCTTTTTTTGTGTGTGTGTATGTTTGTCATGGTGCCTGAACTCTGGGCTTAGGCACTGTCCCTCAACTCTTCAGCTCAAGACTAGTGCTCTACCACTTGAGCCATAGCACTATTTCTGGCTTTGTTTTTGCTTATGTGCTGCTGAGGAATTGAACCCAGGACCTCATGCATGGAAGGTAAGCACTCTACCACTGAGCCACCTTCCTAGCCCCCAACAGAAAGGTTGTTTTTTTTTTTTTCCCCCAGTCATGGGGCTTGAACTCTGGGCCTGGGCACTGTCCCTCAGCTCTTCAGCTCAAGTCTAGCACTCTACCACTTGACCCACAGCACCACTAAATAAAATCTTCTACAAGAACAAAAAAAAAAAAAAAATCGTGTTTTTGGTTTTTTTGTGCTAGTCCTGAGGCTTGAAATCAGGACATGGGCACTGTCCCTGCTCAAGGCTAGTACTGTACCACTTGAGCCACAAAACCACTTCCAGCCTTTTCTGTGTATGTGGTATTGAGGAACTGAATCTGGGGCTTCACACATGCTAGACAAGCACACTACCACTAAGCCACATTCCCAGCTCATATGTAATTTTTTTACAGTACAACTTTAACAGCTCAAATGATGCCAGTCTAGTAAGCATGAAGACCTGAGTTCAAACCCCAGTGCCACAAAAAAAATAGCAAACTTTATTCATATTAACCATATTTCAAGTCCTTAATGGCCCCACATGGTTAGTGCAGAGCAATGATCCACATTGAATAATGTACCCCTCCTCCAAATTCATCTCTTGAAAAGTTTCATGAGATATATAAAAATATGTGACAGTTTGGTGGCTGATGCCTATAATCCTAGTACTCAAGAGGCTGAGACAAGAGGATCATCAGTTCAAGGCTAGCTGGGGCAACATAAGTGAGAATCTTTCTCAAAAAATATAAAGTAATGGCCGCCTGTTATCCTACCTACTCAGGAGGCCAAGATCTGAGGATCACAATCTGAAGCCAGTCTGGGCAGAAAGTCCATGAGACTCTTATCTCCAATTAACCACCTGAAAACTGGAAGTGGCGCTGTGGCTCAAGTGGTAGAGCACTAGCCTTCAGCTGAGTGACAGAGCCCATGCCCAGAGTTCAAGCCCCATGACCGGATTAAAAAAATTTTTATATATATGTATGTGTGTATATATATATGTATATACACACATACATATATGTATATGCATATATGTGTGTGTGTACACACACAAGGTACATGCTAGTGTCACATATTTAAATATACTGAGCTGGACTTGGTGGCACATGCCCATAACTCCAGGTACTTAGGAAGGCAGAGATGGGAAAACTAAAATCTGAGACAGGCCCAAGGAAAAACAAAGCAGTATCTATTCAAAATAACTAAAGCAATATAGTGCCTATCAAGCTTGAGACACTGAATTTGAACTTCACTACTGCCAAAAAAGAAAAAAAAATACATAATGGAAGAGCATCCATCGTAGGTACTTACTGACATCCTGATCTTCAATGAGTTTTTCCAGGGTCTTCCCACTACAGCTGTGCAATACGGCTGCATCACATTGCCCATCTTTCAAATTAAATTCGTATACAACCAGTTCATAATTTTCAGTAAGAGCAAGCATTTTGGGCTTGTCCATTGAGGTGCTGCTATGAGAATCCTCCCATAAAAAGCTGGAAAAAGTATGGATTTATTATATTCTATATCTATAATCACAGGAATGGAAGGGCAGGGTGAATGTAATTTGTTTCACATGATGGCCTTAGTTCTGTACTCCAACTTGATTATATAAATTGTTTTCTTTTCCCCTTCCTCACTTCTTACCCCTTTGCCCCTGCTCACTAGCATAGGAGCTAAGAGTGGGTATTAAAAGGTGCGAATAGAGCAAAAAATAATGTCTCCTTTTACAACTAAATCCTGACTGATCTGGTTAGAGAAATTCATCAAGGATAAGTGCTATCAAAAATATTATTTATGAGGTACTACTTGCAATAATAGTTTCCTGGGATGTTTTAGAAGACTTTAGAAAGTAAATCAATTCAGGGGCTGGGAAGGTGGCTCAGTGATAGAACACTTGCCCCACTTCGGACCCCCCCCCAAAAAAAGTAAAGCAATTCATTGCATCTATAGATGTATAACTATTCTGTCCAGGGAACTTTGTGACAGTAGAAAAGTTCTTTATCAGTGTTACTCAAGACAGTAGCCTGTAAATAATTAGATGTATCTAAAAGTAATTTAAATGTGCGTAGTCCAATTTAGGAACTAATTTTTTTCTTTTCTCTTTTTTCTAATTTTTTTCTCAACTTTAACATGTAGCTAGTGACTACCATACTAGACAGCAAGTTTTTGCCATCTTAAAGCCATGTAGTGTGAAAATACCAATCCTAGCTTAATGTCTTATCTCAATAGGTTTTCCTATAGGATTCAAGATTCTGCTGCCTTTTGATATAGTGTACCCCTTTACCAGGCACTCACAAGTACTACCTGAGAACAGTGAATAAATTTCTATGGAGATATGGTTCCTCTTATCAAGTAGAGACCAAGAATAAGGCAAACAAAGCTTGTTGCATCATTGACTTAACTCTTTTTTTTGCGTCAGTCATGGGACCTGAAGTCTGGGCCTGGGCGCTGTCCCTCAGCTCTTCAGCTCAAGGCTAGCTCTCTACCAGTTGAGCTACAGCGCCACTTCCGGCTTTTTCTGTTTATGCGGTGCTGAGGAATGGAACCCAGGGCCTCATGCATACGAGGCAAGCACTCTACCACTGAGCCACCTTCCCAGCCCCTTAACTAATCTCTACTAAGTGCTTTTACAGGACTTAAAGATTATTCTAAGGTGAGATATTCCTTGGCTACTACTCCCTATCAACTTTTAAGTACTGGAGAATGACAGAAGTGAAAAATACGTATTATTGTAATTATGCCTCTCTGCCTTCAAGTCATGGTCAAGATATGCAAGAAACAGTACAGGGCTGAGCAGGATAGCCATTTCCAAGCCAGACAGCCACATCGTGTATCTAGTCTCAAAAAAAAAAAAAGCACACAGGGAAGTGGCACTGGCACAAAGTGGTGCAAAACTAACACTGAGCAAAAAATAAAGCTCAGAGACAGTGCTAAGGCCCCGAGTTCAAGCCCCATGACCAACCAAAAAAACAGCACATAACTACTGATGGAATAGATGTGATTCAGACCAGCTGGAAGAGGAGGCCTGTGCAGGAAAATGTCACTTCAGGGACCAAATTAAGTCTGAGGAGTGGTTTCATGACGAGTTCCACCTTAGCTTCTTTGCATGCAGGAAATGAGTTGGGCAAGGGGCGCTGGGGCCGCCAACCTGCGGTGAGTGACCGAAGCCTCCATCCGTGCTCCAGCCGAGGGGCCCCGGGTGGGAGATCATCACCTCGGCAGGCGGGGGAAACCGAGGGGGAAAAGCACCCCTCGGCCGCCTCACCCCCCCCAGGTCCCGCCCCGCGCCCCGCTCCCCCCCCCCCCGGGCCCGGACACTCACTGGCGGTAGGGCCCCTCGAGGCGGCAGCAGCCCCCGCCGCGGCGGCCCGGGGCCAGGGAAAGCACTAGCAGGCCGCCCGAGGCCGTCAAGCTCCCCAGGGCTTCCTGCCCCCTGTGCAGCTGCGCTCCGCACCCCAGCTGCCCCGTCGCCTCGGGAGGGAGCGGCACCAGTAACATAGGCAGAACCCGCTCCATGGCTCGGCGAGCACAGCCACCCCGGCCGCCGCCGCCGCGCCGCCGCCGCGCGGCTCCGGTCCGGGACCGCAGCACTTCCGGCCCCGGGCTTCGTAGCCATCCTGGTCTAAGCCGGCTCTTCCGGTCACGTGCGCGGGACCGGCCGGGACCTGCGTCCTGGGCATGCGCGGCGCTCACGTAGCGCAGCTGGGGCCTCTAGGCTTTCCCGGGGCGGCTGTGGGACCAGCGGCTTCCCCCATCCCGCACCTCGGCTCAACGTCTCACGAATACTTGAAAGCCTCGTTCAGCAGCCTTGAAGCAAACCGCTGCAGCTGTTTCCGCTCGCTCGGCGGCGTAGCCTCCTGGGTCTAACCCCAGGTGTGCTCCGTTCGGATCGGCCCTGCCCCTCTCAGCTTTCCCTTGGTCGCTGTTATTTGTTTACTGAAAGAGCCTTGTCTTCTGTGGGGTAGCAGTGGCTCACGCCTGTAATCCTCACTACTCAGAGGCCGACTGCTGAGAACCGGTTCGAAGCCCGCCTGGACAGGAAAGCCTGTGAGACTCTTCTCTGTGAAGCACCAAAAAGCTGCAAGTGGCGCTTCTGGCTCACGTGGTAAGAGCACAAAAGCTCACAAACAGCACCTTGGTCCCGAGGTTCAGCCCCAAGAACATGCACAATAAAGGGGAGGAAGGGAGGGAAGAAGAAAAAAAAAGAAACGAAAGAAAGGTCTTAACAGTCCTCATCTATTCAATGTAATGTCTAGGACAGCTTGAAGAAAAAGCACAGAGAAGGCGTTGAGGGAGAGTCTCCTAGTAGCAGGACATTCTTAAGGCCTTCCTGTCTATAATCCAAACATTGCAGTTTAAATACAACCTCTGTGACTGGGAGACTTAGTGGTAGAGTGCTCGCCTAACGTGCATGAAGCCCTGGGTTCAGTTTCTCAGTACCACATAAACAGAAAAAAGAAAAAGCTGAAAGTGGCACTGTGGCTCAAGTGGTAGAGTGCTAGCCTTGAGCAAAGAAAGCTGCTCAGGACAGTGCCCAGGTTCAAACCCCAAGACTGACAAAAAAAAAAAAGATACAACAAGCATTGTTGACACAGTCACACTTAACATGAACTTCATTACAGCTCCCAATTTACAAAGAAGCTTCAGCAATACCATTCAACAACTTCCTCTTTAATTACAACTTCAGCCACACCTTATTTTGGGGCACATTTAAATTTTAAGAAAAGGATATAAAAATGGTTTGGATATTAAGGCATAAGCAATGTCTTCAGACTCTGGATCCCTGTAGACAATTCAGTTAGCTGATTAAACTTCTCACATATTCTAGAACATCAGGAAATGCAGGCAAGTCTACAAAGAAAACAATGTTAACTGCAAACACAATTCCATTTTATAAATTGTGTGATTTAATTATCTGGCTCTCTCTAGCAGATAGTAAGTTCTTGGGACAGACGTTCTTCATGTTTTCACATTTATATCCTGGAATCATCTCTGAAATATTTCTTGAATGAGTAATTCAACTTTTTAAGTTACTGCCCTCAAATAGCATTACAAGGAACAAACACTTGGGAAAGTAAGGTTTAGTTGAAGAAACAGGTACCAAGGTGCTAACTGGGGGTAGATTGGTTCCTCAAATCAATGTCAATGTCTAGAAGAACTTCTGAAGCACATTACCCTCCATGCTCATAGGAAAGTAAGGAGGAGAGTAACAGAACCTAAACTAAACGTGCACAAGGGGCTGTGATCTTGTTTCTGCCATCACTTACTCCATCCTGGCCTCCAGTTGTTGAACCAATTGTTTGTCCACATGGTGACAGAACAGGGGAAGAAGGTTGCTGGGAAAGGCTAGAGGTTCTGCCAGGGAGGCTGCAGGAATTCGGGCTATCTCCCAGGCTATCAGAACCACCAACTCTGTCCTGGAGGACAGAGAGAAGAAATGCATTGGAGTCTTTACATCAACACAAGAAAGTAAGAGGAGCCAAGTTTCCATCACTACTGTCATAGCCTCCATTCCCAGATAGCAATTAAGTCATAGCGCACTAAATGATAGCAAATACTGGAGCTTAAATTATCTTTCTATGTACACAGCTTCCTGTACCTGAGAATACCAGTGTCCTTGTAGATGAAAATACAAACTAAGAGGAAATGGAGCTGTGGCTCAAGTGGTATAGCACTAGTGTTGGGCAAAAGAGGCTCAGGGGTAGCAACCAGACCCTAGTTCAAGCCCCAGGACCACCATAAAAATAGAAAGAAAGAAAGGAAGGAAGAAGGGAAGGGAAGGAAAGGAAAGCAAGCAAGCAGAACACCAATAGCTCATGCCTATAATCCTAACTACTCAAAAGGCCAAGATCTGAGGATCACAGTTCAAAAGCCAGCCTAGGCAGGAAAGTTTGTGAGACTCTTACCACCAATTAACCACAAGAAAACTAGAAGTGGTGCTATGGATCAAAGTGGCAGAGTACAAATCTTCAGCAAGAGCTTGGACAGCATCCAAGCTATAAATTCAAGCCTCAAGACTGACCCAAAAAAGAGAAGGAGAACAAGGAGAAGAGGAAGAAAGAAAAGAAAATACAGCCTACGTGAAGTAACTTCACCATAAAGTTCCATTACTAATGACAGAACCAGAAACTCAAAATTGACTCTAAAACTTATCCTTCCAAATCAGGATTTTTCTTTTGTCTTTTTCAGTATGGGGTTTGAACTCAAGGCCTCACACTTGCTAGGTAGATAGTTCTATCAGTTAAACTAGAACCACAACCTTAAAAAATTTATCCTCTGGGGGCTGGGAAGGTGGCTCAGTGGTAGGGTGCTTGCCTTGTATGCATGAGGCCCTCAGTTCGATTCCTCAGCACCACCTAAGCAGAAAAAAGCTGGAAGTGGCACTGTGGCTCAAGTGGTAGAGTACTTGCCTTGAACTGAAGAGCTAATGGACAGCACCCAGGCTCAGAGTTTAGGCCCCATGACCACAAAAAAAAATTTAATTAAAAAATATATATATCTCCTCTGAACTTGGAGGCATGGCTTAAGTGATAGAAGAAGCTGAGTGAAGAAGCCAAATAACTGAGAAGGCCTTGAATTCAATCCCTGGTACCACCACAAAACAAGTTACATCCAGTACTGGAGGGGAAACAACGATAAAATTCCTGTACATCTCCTCGCTGATAATTCAGTTGGTACTCAGGAAACTTATGTGGCTCAGCCCACACATCCCAGGGGTACTGAGATAGTATTGATAAGGCCTTTTTCTTACCAAGCTGTGTGATCACCAAGCTCCTCAAGGGAAGAATCCTGGGATAGCAGGTGCTCTCCATGACTCAGTAAAGCATAAAGCAAGGATATTCCAAACTGTAAGTGATATATAATCCAAGACAAAATGAGTTTACTATAGGCATTTAGTGCTTTAAAAAAAAAATGCAGCCGGGTGCCAATGGCTCACGCCTATCACGCCTATAATCCTAGCTACGCAGGAGGCTGAGATCTGAGGATCGCAGTTCAGGGCCAGCCCAGGCAGGAAAGTCCGTGAGACTCTTATCTCCAATAAACCACTCAACAACTAGAAGTAGTGCTGTGGCTCAAGTGGTAAAGCACTAACGTTGGGCACAAAGAGACTCAGGGGCTGTGCCCAGGCCGTGAGTTCAAGCCCCACAAACCAACAGAAAAAAAAAAAAAAGAAAATCTGTTAGTTTTCCAACTAAGTCACAGGTTCACATTTATAAATGGGGACAAATACTGAGAAGTACAGTACTGTCAGATTTACACTGGCTAAACAAAGAACTCTGGTCTTCCCAAAGGAATCACTGTTCTTAACTTTCACAAGCTCTCCTGAGAGCTGACTGCATGTACACTCCTAAATCCACCCCCAAGAAATCCGCCTGTAGATCAGGAATGAATCAGGGAACTCATTCAGGTAGTCTGGATGGCTCTGCCTGAAGAAGTGCAAGTATAAGCTAACATCTTCAAAGGACACACAAAAATCCACTACAATATTGGATGATAGTTTCTCTTATCTAGTCTCATCCTTTAAAAGTTACTTGGGCTAGAAGAGTACAGCTTGGTGATAGAAGAAATGCTTAGCATGCACAAGTCCCTTGGTTTAATATCCCACACCACAAAGAAACCTTTCTACTTTGCATTTATTAGGTACATGCAGTTTGAAAACATATGTAGGCTATGGTTCCAGTTTTCTTACTAAAAGAGGTATATATGAAAATTTGGAGATGACTTCTGTACAGACAGCAGCATCAAGAAACCTGGTAGAAAAGCAGATGTGTACTTTTTTTTCCCCTTTGGTCAGTCATGGGGCTTGAACTGTGGGCCTGGGCACTGTCCTTCAGCTCTTCAGCTCAAGGCTAGTGCTCTACCATTTCAGCCACAGCGCCACTTCCAATTTCTGGTGGTTTATTGAAGTAAGGGTCACACGGACTTTCCTGCCCAGGCTGGCTTTAAACCAGGACCCTCAGATCTCAGCCTCCTGAGTAGCTAGGATTACAGGCCTGAGCAACTGGCTCAGACGTGTACTTTCTGTTTCCTGGCTACTGTGAGGTGAATGACTCTACACCACCCACACCCTTCTCCTGTGACTGTTTCCTAGGCCCATAGGAAGGCAGAGTCTGCTCTTGAAAAAATGTGAGTTAAGGGGCTGGGAAGGTGGCTCAGTGGTAGAGCGCTTGCCTTGCATGCTACAGGCCCTGGGTTCGATTCCTCAGCACCACATAACCAAAAAGAAAAAAGCCGGAAGTAGCTCTGTGGCTCCAGTGGTAGAGCGCTAGCCTTGAGCTGAAGAGCTGAGGGACAGCGCCCAGGCCCAGAGTTCAGGCCCCACAACCGGACCCCAAAAAAAAAAAGAAAAAGAAAAATGTGAGTTAAATCTATGCTCTTAAAAAAAAAAAATAATAATGGCTGTGAAGTTGGCTCACATTGATGAGGTTCTGGGTTCAATTCATCAGCACCAAGTAAGCAGAAAAAAGCCAGAAATGATGCTGTGGCTCAAGTGGTAGGGCACTAGGCTTGAGCTGAAGAGGTGAGAGACAGTTCCCAGGCCCAGAGTTCAGCCCCTACAACTGACAAAACAAAAAAGCGACAAAGATTTAAAAACAACAAACAAAACTCTTATGTCTCTATCTTGGGGTTCATTTCGTTGTCGGGCACTGGTGCCTCACCCTGTAATCCAAGCTACTCAGGAGGCTGAGATCTGAGGATCGAGGTTCAAAGCCAGCCCAGGGAGGAAAGTCTGTGAGACTCTTATCTCCAATAAACTAATAGAAAACCAGAAGTGGTGCTCTGGCTAAAGCGGTAGAGCGCTGGCCTTGAGCTGAAGGACAGCGCCCAGGCCCAGAGTTCAGGCCCCACAACCGATCCCCAAAAAAAGGGGGAGGCTGGGAAGGGATGGGAAGGGTAAACAAAGAAGGAGGCTACAATGCTTGATAAGAAATATACTCACTATCTTGCCCATGTAATTGTAACTCCTCTGTACAGTATTTTCACAATAAAAAAAAACAATAGCAAGCAAGAAAAAAAAAAACAGGTGTGTAAGATGCCGCTTTCCCACTTCCTGATTTGAGTGGAACCAAGGAAGTACTGTCTATTAACTAGGTTCTCTTCTATTCTGTGCTCACTAGAAGCTGGGAAGCATTGCTGAAGATAAAAGATTTGTGTAGAGGTGAGAACATCTCATTTATTCCTTTCCAGTGGTACCATTTAGAAAACCATCTATGGAAGAAAAGTCTCCCAGATGTGTTACCTGGTTCTGAAGTACCATAGCAATGCGACGCTCTGAGGAGCCAAATGGCAGCAACATTAGCCCCTGAAGTCCTTGGAGAAGTTCGCGGAAGGTTAAGTTTCTGATACAGTTGCACAGAGGCTTGAATAACATGTGTAGGGCCTGCAAGAAGATTAGTAAGCTTTCTCAAAACTTCCTCCAATCCTTTCCTCCTAGCTTGCCTTGAAGCCCTTACTTGGCTGATTTTCATTAAGCACTTTCCTGGGGAGAAACCCTACATCACCTTAAAATTGAGCCCTAAGCCAGATGCACAGGTAGCTCACACCTGTAATCCTAGCTACTCAGGAGGCTGAGATCTGAGGATCATGGTTCAAAGCCAGCCCCGTTAGGAAAGTTCGTAAGCCTCTTATCTCCAAATAACCACCAGAAAACCAGAAGTAGCACTGTAGCTCAAATAGTAGAGAGTTAGCCTTGAGCTGAAGAGCTGAGGAACAGCACCCAGGCCCAGAGTTCAAGCCCCATGACTGACAAAAAAATGAGACCTGAAATACCCACCTGTTCTACAATGTCTTTCCTGAATAAAGTGTATATGGGCGTCAACACTTGTCTTCTCTCAAATCTCACAGCACACTATGCAATCATACCTGTCTTTTATTCATTCATTATATCTGAAGACAATGCACTGTACCTAAAGTAATATCCCCACTTGAAGGGGGAACAGGTGTTCACTGCTGAACACCCTGCTGACATCTTTAGGAGGAAGAAGGGGAGGAAAGATCCCTAACCTATGCAGGAAACCATCCTCTTGTCCACTCAGTGCCCAGTACCTGGTCTACCACGTCTCTCTGAACAAGGATGGGCAGATGGTGGATGATAGCCAGAAGAAGACTAACAGCCTGATCATGAGGAAGAAAGGGGAGCAGCCTGGCCACCAAGGTCTTCCCCTTCTTCACAGACAGTACCTGCAGGAAGCTATCTGCTGCCTCCCTGCAAGGAAGAACATTTTTCAGAGCTCTACATGAAGAAGTCACATGCCAGGAAGGAAAAGCAGGCAGCACCAAAGCCAGTGTCAGCTATCCTTCCCTTCTTGGGTAAAGGTGGAACCTTCCCGCACTCACTCCACGTTGTCCTGTTCCTGAATGTTTAAGGCCTGGAAGAGCTTCTCAACCTGGTAGCTCTTCTGCCCGGAGTAGCAGGGCTGTGGAGGCCCATCCTTCTGCTCTTCCTCTACCTCTAGTAACTGAAGAAACATCTAAGGGGCAGAGAACATTCATTTTGAGAAATATCCCATTCTCAGGGGCTGGGAAGGTGGCTCAGTGGTAGAGTGCTTGCCTTGCATGCTTGAGGCCCTGGGTTCGATTCCTCAGCACCATATAAGCAAAAAGAAAAAAGTTGGAAGTGGCGCTGTGACTCAAGTGGTAGAGCGCTAGCCTTGAGCTGAAGAGCTGAGGGACAGCGCCCAGGCCCAGAGTTCAGGCCCCACAACTGGACCCAAAAAAAAAAAAAAAAAAGAAACAAAAGCCAGAAGTAGAGCTGTGGCTCAAGTGGTAGAGTGCTAGCCTTGAGCAAAAGAAGCTCAGGGACAGTGCCAGGCCCTAAATTCAAGCCCCAGGACTGGCAAAAAAAAAAAAGGAAATTGAAAGCTCCTCCCCGACAAGAACTGATGTCTCACCTTCTCAATCCGGGATAATACTCGAAGCCTCTGACTGCTCGCAGCTCCAGTTTCCTATGAAAAGATATCCCTTGACCATTGGCTTCACAGCCTTCCATAGCAGGCCAGGTCTCAGACCATCTAGAAATGGAGCTAGAAAGGCTAGCCACAAGGCTGATTGCATTGCTTCCTCATTCTTTTGACACAAATATCTGAATTCAAATAAAAAAACAGGTTCTGGGAAGATAAAAGCTCCTACCTGCTCTTGAGTTCCAAGGGATACAGCATCAATAGCTCGGCGAGGACTAAAACACGTTGATACAGCTACCTGACCCAAGGAGCCCTCAATTCGAACCACTGCATAAAAGGAGTCAGGAGAGGCACATTGCTTTCCTCTTTCCACTCACATCCAGCTGAATGCTTGACCCAAGCCAGCAGTACATCCCAGCCCTACCAGACTCATAAGCCTCTGCCTTCTGGATGTAAGGTGTCACCAGCTTCAAAGTCTCAATTCTGTTCCTTTGTCCAAGTAGCTCTTCATCTGCCTGCTTCTTCTCTAGCTTCCGATAGTATTCCTGAGAGTCCATGGAAGAAAACAGACCCAACTCATCTTGATTCTCTTCACAGCTGGGCACTGGTGGCTCACACCTGTAATCCTAGATACTTGGGAGGCCAAGATCTGAGGATCATGGTTTGAAGCCAGCCCAGAAAGGAAAGCCCATGAGACTCAGAAAACAGGAAGTGGGGCTGTGGCTCAAGTGGTACAGTATTTGCCTTGAGACAGCACCCAGGCCCAGAGTTCAAGCCCCACGACCAACCAAATATATATATATATATATATATATATATATATATATATATATGGATGTGAATATTTATAGGACATTTTTCTTTTTTTTTTTTTGTCGGTCGTGGGGCTTGAACTCGGCCTGGGTGCTGTCCCTCAGCTCTTCAGCTCAAGGGGAGTGATCTACCACTTGCGCCACAGTGCCACTTCCAGTTTTCTGGTGGTTTAGTGGCGATGAGAGTCTCACGGACTTTTCTTCCCTAAGCTGGCTTTGAACCGCAATCCTCAGATCTCAGCCTCCTGAGTGGCTTGGATTACAGGCATGAGCCACCGACACCTAGCTTATAGGACATTTCTAAGGCTCACAAAAATCTCGAGGAAATTGTAAAGAATCCCATTTGGCTGAAATATAGGAGCTTGAGATGTGAACTTCAGAAATATGATTCCTGCAAGACACGAGTGGCTCATGTCTGTAATCCTAGCTACTTAGGAGGCTGAGATCTGAACACTGTGGTTCAAAGCCAGCCAGGGAAAGTTAAGTGCATGAGACATCTCCAAATATCTGGCAAAAAAAAAGCCAGAAGCAAAGCAGTGGCTCAAGTGGTAGAGTGCCAGCCTTGAGCACAAGAGCTCAGGGACAGCTGGATATTGGTAGCTCACACCTATAACTCCAGTTACTCAGGAGACTGAGATCCCTGAGAATCACAGTTGAAAGCCAGCCTGAGCAGGAAAGTCCATGAGACTCTTACTGCCAATTAACCACCAGAAAACCAGAAGTGGCACTGTGGCTCAAAGTGGTAGAGTGCTTGCCTTGAGCTAAGGCCCAGAGTTCAAGCCCCACAACTGACAAACATAAAAATTAAAAATAAAAAAGCTCAGGAACAACGCTCAGGCTCCAAGGACACAGGGCTTCAATGACAGGATCCTTATCCTCTCAGACACACATCCTCATAAGAGGGTGAGCAAAGGCCCTGCCTGCTTCATTTGGATCCGAAGCTGTGACCTCGGGGCTCACCTGGTAGTAATAGTCGTCCAGGTGGGGGTTCTCACTCTGCAGCTGAACCATCTCAACTTTGATCACCCAGTCCTTCTCCTTGCGGCTCATGAGGCTAGCATAGGGGTCTGGCTGCGGAGACCAAGGCTTCTTGACTGGGGGACTTCAAGCCAATAGGAACATCCCTTTAGGCTCACCTACCCCTGTTACAGTGAACGTTCTAAGGAGGGGTGAGCAGGAAGTGGAATTTTCTGGGAAGGATGCAAAGGGTGTCCTGGAGAGCAATGGTTTGAGAGTCCCCGGTGTGCAGGGACTTTGGGGGGAGGTAAGTGGTCACAAGCATGCGGACTCTCATCTAGGCTTTTTACCTTGTTTGGCTTTGCTGCTGCAGCTGCAAGATCCGTTTGTGCTGAGGGTGGAGTTGAGTCAGATGACTGGGAAGGCTTTAAAAAGGGAACAAACTGGGTGGGAGGAAGCTCCACGTGCCTCCCAAGCCTACCATTCATTAAGCTTGAGTAAGCTCAGTTGGAGAGATCCAAGGGGAGCCTCCGTGACATGCCTCCCCAAATCAGCCAATAGGAAACATCAGCATCTTCACAACCCACCCCCAAGATCTAGGTTCCTACAATCTGGCTACAGAAATTCTCTGCACAGTAGGAAAACTAGAGTGACTAAATAGCACGCCCAGAGTCCCAGTCTTAGTTCTGTCCTGTGAGCTGATGTCGCAGGTGTTTGTCTAAGTGGGGTTCCATTTCCTCATCTGTGAAAGACTGTTCCACATTTCAGATGTCTGTAGCTATTTTTCTTTGACAGCTGGTACAATGGCACCCGCCCTCCTTGGCTGCTACCTCCTTAGACACTTAGGACAAATGCAGCTTCTTCTGCCACTGCAGTCCTTGCACTAGTACCTGAGCCTGGAGGGCCACGTGGTCAGTGGGCTACAGAAGAGAGACGGGTCCGGAGAGGGCTGTTGGAGTCCAAAGTGTCGGGCTGGAGAGCTGGCACTCGGAAGCACCGGCTGGAAAAGAACCAGTGACATGTCCAGGGGCTGAGAGAGGAATTAAGACGTGTGGGAAGAGATGGCTACTGAGGCTTGGCTCCGCTCCTTTCCTGCCTTTCCCCTAACATTTTGCTGTACTGCACAATCAGGAAGTAGCTAGCTGTCAGGCCACCCAATTAGAACTCTTCCCCTGGTTGTTTTTGCTGGTCATGGGGCTTGAACTTTGGACCTGGGCACTGTCCCTGAGCACTTCAGCTCAAGGCCAGCACTCTACCGCTTGAGCCACAGCACCACTTCTGGTTTTCTGGTGGTTCACTGGAGATAAGAGTCTCATGCACTTTCCTGCCCAGGCTGGCTTTGAATCTTGATTCTCAGATCTCAGCCTCCTGAGTAGCTAGGATTACAGGCGTGAGCTACCGGTGCCCAGCTTCTTCCCCTTGGTTTAAGAGTTAGTCACCCCCTAGGAAGCATCTCTAGTCCATGACAGCTGGATGGCCTGTGGGTTTTAACACCTTTCACTCTCTTCTCTGTACCGACAGTCTTCTCTCAGGCTACATTTTCAGCCAAGAGGACTGGGCTCCACTGCGTCCTCTGACACACCGGAAGCTCTCAACTATGATTTCCTCCTAGTTCTCCCTGGTGTTTGGATTCCTGCCGTGCAGAGCCAAGTTCCTGTCATATAGTTAAGTGAGGGCAGGTGATCCTTGCAGCGCCAAGCTCAGGTTGGGAGCTGAAGTAGAACACGTTCATCGTAACCTGTCTCAGAAAGGGCTGAAGGTGAGGGAAGAGTCTGAGCTTTACACGGTTCAGGACAACTCTCTCTTCCCCTCCTGCCGCGGTACCTGGGGACTTTGAATGGCAGTGAGGACTGCTGGATCCCCAACATTCTCCTCCTGCTCTGGAAATGGGACAAGGTCTGGATCTGAACGATCTTCCTCTTCATTCTCTTCCAACTGGGATGAGGATACCAGTTCTTCCTTGGGAGCCAAGGAGCCACAGAACTTACCTGGCCCTTGGCGCGAGTGTGGGCCTGTGGAAGGAGATGGGGACTCTTGTCTAGGGGACGGTACTCAGTAGCACTTCTGTTCAGCCATCTCTAGACCTACCTTTAAATCAAACTAATCTCTGTTCCATGGCTTCACCAAACCATGAAAGCAAACAGCCTGACAGCTGCCACACACCCCCCCCCTTCAATGACCTCATTGACTACCACAAGTTCTCTCCACCTGCTCTCCACCCAACCGTCTCTTCTGCTGCCTCTTTAAACAACAAAAGTGCCAGCTGTCCTGACTCACTGCATTTGAACTGTGTGATAGATACCTGGCATCTTGTTTTTGTTTTTTGGTTTGTTTTTTTTGTCGGTCATGGGGCCTGTACTCTGGGCCTGGGTGCTATCCCTCAGCTCTTCAGCTCAAGGCTAGCGTTCTACCACTTGAGCCACAGCACCATTTCTGGCTTTTTCTATTTTTGTGGTGCTAAGGAATCAAACCCAGGGCTTCATGCATGCAAGGCAAGCACTCTACCACTGAGCCACCTTCCCAGCCCATACTTGGCATCTTTATGTCCATCGAATGAAGCTATGAAGGCGGTTACTTTGATTCCCCAAAGTGAGCAAGGAAAATAAAGCTCAGCAAAGTGTCACTAGGTAGCAAGTGGATGAGTTTAGAGCCACTTTGGGTGAAATGGCCAAACCTAGGCTGACGCAGCCTCTGCCCTCCCTGGGCTTTTATGTAGATGCAGTGGTCCATGCAGTGATACCTTCAAGACGTTTCGTCTTGCCAGGCTGGCAGGCTTCCTCCTTGGCTGTGTCCTCCACGGTCAGAGCATGCTCAGCCTCAAGGTAAACCTGGAACAGGGAAGAAACCCAGAGACATCTTCCTCTTCAGTAAGGGTGGCATGGAACAACCTCTTCCCGCCAAGGTGGTCTCAGTCCTACTGACTCAAAGCTCAGAAGGGAAGCCCTGCACTCTCAATGACATAAACCCCTGCTCCCCATCTCCCCCAGCCCAGCAATAAGGAGCTGCTCTGCAAAGAGACAGAAGTTGGGAGCAGGCCTAGGAGCTGGAGAGAGAAACTCTCCCACAAGAATGCCACCCGGGGATACAGCGAGACTCCTGGTAACAGGCACCCACCGCTTGACTGTGGCTCTCCTTTCCCTTCAGATTAGCCATGGCAGCCTGGGCCAAGACCCCGTGGGCTGCTCTTGGTTTTAAAGGTCCAGCTCCTCCCCTCTCACCCAATAAAGGGCCAGCACTCCTGAACTCCTGGGATTTGGTGGGGATATGAGAACTCTAATAAAGAAATGGGGAAGGAAAAAATGTAAGCTGTGCTTTCACACATCCAAGTCTGTCAGTACACTTCACTGGGACTAACATTTTGGGGTAGGATTTCTGTTTTCATACTCTTATAGGAACTTTGTGGAATTGCTCCTACTTCATCCACAGGTTTTGCTCCAATAACATTAGATAGAAAAGGCCTGGGTGCATTCGAAGGAGGTTGTTGAACAACCAAGTTGCTACAGCTTCAGGTGGTAGTACACGAGGCTCGGCCAAGAACACCTGATGATGCTTGAACTTCACCGTGCTGGATTAGTTTCGATCTGCTACTGCACTTGCTCTAGAGGGAGGGGCCCCTGTGAATAAAGAAGCCAGATCTGGAAAGAAAGAACACTTGTATCCAATAACCCAAACTTATATCTTCTGAGCTGCTTTAGTAGGAAACTGGTCCCAAAGTTCAGGAGAAATACACCACCACCAAATTAATGACAACAACAAAAACAAGTGTACCAGAAGCAGGTCTATCACTAGTAAACCTATCTGAGCCTCTTCTAACTTTTTAGTTAGATCCTGGGTTTTGTGCGCACATCCTGTGTTCAGCTGCAATCCACGTGACTCTGTAGAATTTTTTTTTTTTTTTTTTTTTGTCGGTCGTGGGGCTTGAACTCTGGGCCTGGGTGCTGTCCCTCAGCTCTACCGCTTGAGCTACAGCGCCACTTCCGGTTTTTCTGGTGGTTTATTGGAGATAGGAGTCTCACGGTCTCTCCTGCCCGGGCTGGCTTTGAACTGCGATCCTCAGATCTCAGCCTCCTGAGTAGCTAGGATTACAGGCGTGAGCCACCAGCGCCCGGCTTGGAACTAGAATTTTAACTCAGGGCCTTAAGCTGTCACATGGCTTTCTGCTCAAAGCTAGCGCTCTACCCCTTGAGCCCTACCTTCACCTCCAACAACTTTTTTAGTGGTTAATTGGAGATAAGAGTCTCACGGACAGGGCTGGAAAAGTGGCTCAGTGGTAGAGTGCTTGCCTTGCATGCATGAGGCCCTGGGTTCGATTCCTCAGCACCACATAAGCAGAAAAAGCTGGAAGTGGCGCTGTGGCTCAAGTGGTAGAGCACTATCCTTGAGCTGAAGAGCTGAGGGACAGCGCCCAGGCCCAGAGTTCAGGCCCCATGACCGGCAAAAAAAAAAAGAGTCTCACAGACTTTTTTTTGCTAGGGCTGGCTTTAACTCTCAGCCTGGGTAGCTAGGATTCAGGTGAGAGCCACCAGCACCCAGCAACATTAACATTTTCTAGTAAAATTCAACACTAACACTTCAAGTCTTAAGCATATTAAATGAGAGTCTTATCTATGAACTTTATGCATAAAAATTCATCTACATTTTAAAGTTACAGAAAGGACAGCAGAAAAATTAGTAAAAGATTGGAGGAGTGACTCAGGTGGTAGAGTGCCAGCCAATGTGCAAAAATAAGCGTCAGATACCGAGTTCGAGTCCCAGTCTTGGACAAAAAGAAGAAGTAAAATAACAACATTAAGAAGTACAGTACTTGGGGGTTGGGAGGGAAAAAGCGAGGAGAAAATGATGGAGGGGATGACACTGTTCAAAAAGAAATGTACTCATTAACTGACTTAACCGTAATCCCTCTGTACATCACCTTTCAAATAAAAAAAAATATGCCCATGTAATTGTAACCCCTCTGTACAGTATTTTCACAATAAAAAATATTTATAGTATTTTCCAGGCACTGGCAAGTACTGTAGATTACACCTATAATCTTAGCTACTCAGGAGGCTGAGATCTGAGGATTGTGGTTTGAAGCCAGCAGAAAAGTCTGTGAGACACTTAGCTCCTATAAACTATTCAGAAAAAAATACAGAAGTGATGTGGTGGCTTACGTGGTAGAAAACTAGCCTTGAGTAAAAAGAGTTCAGGGAGAGCACCTAGGCCTTGAGCTCAGGCCCCAGGACTGGCCAAAAAAACCCCAAAAAAACAATAGTAATGATTAAACATCACACTACATGTTAGGTATGGTGGGAGGAACCTCTCTGTTCTTATTTTATTCCACAAGACCTGTGGAAAGTATGCTACTTTCTCTAGCTTACAAATGGCTCCACAATAGAGGTTATTGAAAGTTCAATACTATGTAAAAGAAATGCATGGGCTGGGAAGGTGGCTCAGTGGTAGAGCGCTTGCCTTGCATGCATGAGGCCCTGGGTTCAATTCCCCAGCACCACATAAGCAAAAAGAAAAAAAGCTGGAAGCAGTGCTCAAGTGGCTCAAGTGGTAGAGTGTTAGCCTTGAGCTGAAGAGCTAAGGGACAGCACACATGCCCAGAGTTCAGGCCCCATGACCAGACCCCCCCCCCAAAAAAAGAAATAAATGCAGGAAGTTGTTTGTTGTGATCCTTGGGGAAGTCCAGCACAAACTCCCTTCAAACTGTGGTGATTTCCAAGATGTCCCTCCCGGTTTCCATGGCATACTTCCTCTTTACTGTTTCACTCAGTAAAGATTCCTGGACTTGGCTGCAATGTAAAGACCGTACCTTTCTTATGGTATCTTTATTTTTATTTGTTTATTTATTTATTTTTGCCAGTCCTGAGGCTTGAATTGAGGGCCTGGGCACTGTCCCTGAGCTTCTTTTGCTTAAGGCTAGCACTCTACCACTTGAACCAAGGCACCACCACGTCTGGCTTTTTCTGTTTCTGTGGTACTGAGGAATCGAAGCCAGGGCTTCATGCATGCTAGGCAAGCACTCTACCTTGGAGCCACATTCCCAGCCCTTATGATTGATGCCTTTGGAATGTGCAGTTCTTGCTCCTTCCCTTTCATGCCACACCTCCATATAATTGGAGATAGAGTCACACAGATTTTTTTCCCAGGTTGGCTTCAAACTTCCATCCTCCAGAGTTTCCATTTTCTGAATAGTTAGGATTACAGGTGTGAGCCACCAATGCCCACCTTCTCTTTCTTTTTGGGGCAGCCTGGCCTCATATTTGTGATCCTCCTGTCTCAGTCTCTCCAGTGCTAAGAGGGTAAGCATGGACCACATGCCCTGCAGTATGTAGTAGGTTTTCTCAGCTTGTATGCCTGTCATGATCTTATAGTGGGGGTGAACTTTCTTGCTAAGCCCATGGGAAATCAATGGAAACTCTTGAGTAATATGGCTAAGGTCTTTGTCTTCCAAGCTGATTGCCAAGAGAATGATTGCCAAGAGAATAGCTGTTAGCCTGTTTCTCCGTCACACAAATGAGTGGGGGATAATTCTATCACCTCTTCACGAATTCACTCACTACAATTCAAGTCTACCAAGCAGCTACTATGGGCCAGGCACTGCTTTAGGGTGGTAAGCTAAAAGGAAGGCTGTATCTTAAGGGATCTAGAAAGCTGTAAGCAGTTTCAGCATTTCTTATCAGTGGCCTTGTCCTGGCCTTTGCACCCATCAACTGAACAAAGATCATCACCTAAACAACAGCCAAGCTACACACGAAGAAGTTTCGGAAAAGAAACCTCTCTCTGCTGGGATTCAAAAGGCAAAAAAACACAAAACCCCCAAATCCTTTTCATTCACTCTAGATGGTTCTCTGAACTGCCTTCAAGACAGCTAAGCTGGAGGTCCCTTGGATTTCTTTTTCTTTTTTATTCCATTTCTTGCCTAGACACCCTGACCTTACAGCAAATCCTCGGTCTGCAGCGACAACCTGAAGCCGGGGTTGTGCCAGGAACTCTCCGGGCTGAGAGTTGCCCCCAAGAGAGGGAGAGATGCAAGCTGCTTCCAGGGAATCGCCAAGCGGGGGTGCCCACCACCCCGAGATGGCACAGCGAGCCCCACCCCCACCCCCACCCTCCAGCCCACGCCTCGGCATCACGGGACTTGTTCAGAAATTGAAACTGAAAACAGGAAAAGTCCCTCTCCAACCCGCCGGACGCCCTCCTGCCTGGAGACAGCTGACGGCGGGGGACGGGCTGGCTCCTGATTGGCGGGCGCGCGGGGGACTTTAAGCGTGCGCGCCGGGGCCCGCCTTCGCCTTTGCCTTCCGAACTCGGGACGGCTGGTGGAGATGTCTCGCCCCGTGGTCTTGGCCTTGGTGGCCCTGCTCTTCCTGATGGGCTTGGAAGCGGTGGAACGTGAGTGCCGTCTCCTCTTCCTCCTCCTCCTTCTCCCCCACCCCCAATCCCACTTTTTCTTCCCTTTTGTCCCTTTTGGAACTCTCTTATCTGGGTGACACTCTGCCCCACAACCACCCCACCCCCAGTTTCTCTCCCCCCCCCTCACTTAGGCCCAGGATGCTCCAGCATCAGAGGGTCTCCCCGCACCCCACGGAGGGGGGAGAGGAGGCTCCCGGAGTTGAAGTGACACCGGGGATAAATGACAAGTCGGGATTGCAATGGAACCTGACACAAAACGCACTGGAATCCTTGTCTGAAAAGCATGCCTCCTGGGGCTGGGAAGGTGGCTCAGGGGTAGGGTGCTCGTCTAGCCTGCCTGAAGCCCTGGGTTCGATTCCTCAGCACCACAGACACAGAAAAGGCCGGGAGTGGCACTGTGGCTCAAGTGGTAGAGCGCTAGTCTTGAGCACTGAGAGGCTCAGGGACAGGGCCCTGGGCCCTGAGTTCAAGCCCCAGGCCAAAAACAAACCAGCATGCATCTTCCCCTTCCCTTATGGGATTCTCTGGAGCAAGGTGGAGAGGCCTGAACCTCGGAATGTTCTCGCGGAGGGCTGGCCCTTTGGCACCTTCCGCTTTGAGAAAGTGGAGACTTGTCAGTTGGGGAAGAGGGCAATCCAAATGGCTACCAAGATTATTCTAGACAGCCACAATCTAGAGCCCCTTTTTTTTGGGGGGGGGAGGGTCAGGTACTGGGGCTTGAACTCAGATCCTTGTGTTCTTGCTTCGTTTTTGTTGTTGTTGTTTTGTGGCAAGGCTGGCTGGCATCTGGCCTGCTCCCATTTGAGGCCCACCTCCACTTTCCGCTGTTGTTACAAGGAGATAAATGTCTCGGAGATTTGTCTACTGAGGCTGGCTTTAAGCCTCCAGACTCAGGTCTCAGCCTCCTGACAGCAATGATTAAAGGTGTGAGCTATTAGCACTTGGCTCTTGAGCACTTTATAAATGTCTGGCTATATGCTCTAATCTTCTCTCCTTGAAGAAGAAAAAAATCTTATTTGGGAAACTCCCAAATACATACATATTATATTTAACCATTTCTGGGTAATATTTGAGCATGTGTAATGTTAATTGTCTCTAAAAGGTCCATATCCATTATCAACTATGCATTTTTACTGCAAGCATGACTTAACTTTTTAATTTTAATTTTAAAAGCTGAAATAACTCTTCCAAAGATACAGAGCTAGGAAGTAGCTGAGCTCAGATTCAGCTGGGTGCCTGTGGCTCACACCTATAATGATGGCTGCTCAAGGAGGTGACATCTAGGGATCAAGGTTCAAAGCCAACCCAGGCAGCAAAGTCCTTAAGACTCTTATCTCCAATTGGACACACAAAAAAATCTGGAAGTGGAGCTGTGTCTCAAGTGGTAGAGCTCTAACCTTGAGCACAAAAGCTCAGGGACAATGCCCAGGCCCCAAGTTCAAGCCCTAGTACTGGCATAGACATACACACACACACACACACGCGCGCGCACACACACACACGCACACAAAATCCGTTCTTAGAAGAGTTATGATGATATATTTGCAAAATCTCGTTGTATTTCACTAAATTCATTAAAGAATTCCAGGCCAGCTGGTCACTGGTGGCTCACGCCTGTAATCCTAGCTATTCAGGAGGCTGAGATCTGAGGATCACGGTTCAAAGCCAGCCAGGCAGGAAAGTCCGTGAGACTCTTATCTCCAATTAACCACTAGAAAACCGGAAGTGGTGCTGTGGCTCAAGAGGCAGAGCGCTTGCCTTGAGTTGTAGAGCTGAGGGAAAGCGCTCAGGCCCAGAGTTCAAGCCCCATGACCGACAAAAAAAAAAAAAAAATCAGAAAAAAGAATTCCAGGCCAACACTGGCACCAGTGGCTTACACCTGTAATCCTAGCTACTCAGAAAACTACTATCGGAGAATCCCAGTTCAAAACCATCCCAGGCTGGAAAGTCTGGAAGACTCTCCTCTCCAATTAATCACAAAGAAAGACAGAAGTGGTGCATAGTTCAAGTGGTAGAGTGCCTTGAGGAAAGATGCTTAGGGACAGTGCCCAGGCTCAGAGCTAAAGGGCAAGGACCAGGAGAGAGAAAGACAGACAGACAGACACACACACACACACACACACACACTCTCAGGGAGGGAGGGAGGGAAAAGGAGAGAAATAGAAGACCAGATTTAACACTCAGTGCCTGATTCAGCTTGAGACCAAGTTAGCCTCAAGTGAATTATTCTGCTATTCTGGCAATTTTTAAATGTTAATGTTCTGATGTTTTTCACAGTTGTTCCAAAGGTTCAAGTCTATTCCCGTCACCCAGCAGAGAATGGGAAGCCAAATTACCTGAACTGCTATGTGTCGGGTTTTCATCCACCTCAGATCGAAATAGAACTGCTGAAGAATGGAAAGAAGATAGAGAAAGTGGAACAGTCCGATCTGGCTTTCAGCAGGGACTGGTCTTTCTACCTTCTGGTCCATACCGAGTTCACTCCCAATGACAGGGATGAATACGCATGCAAAGTTACTCACTCCACTCTGAAAACGCCCATGGTAGTGAAGTGGGGTAAGTTTTCAACGTTTTTCTCTGAGCTGTTGAAAAGTTGTACTTGAGTTGAGTCACTGGGCTTTTAGAAAACCTGCACACTAGGGCTGTCAGGAAAAATGCCCAAAACGCTGATCAGTGTCACCAGTTAAAGAGATTCTGGCACCTCGGGCTCCCGGAGCCACAGGAGCCCCCACAATGAGACTGGGAGTGGCAGCGCCCCACCCAGGCATGCACGTACACTCTTCCCACACGCTGGCTTCCTCCAGCCTCATGGACACTTAGCATCAAGAAGCCTGACACCCCACCGTCCCTAGCCTCCTACAATCCTGGCCCCTCCCAGTGTTTTCTGTCTTGGTTTAGGTTGCATTCTGAGGCTAGTAGGCAGGGAGTAAGTCCTACTGGGTAATTGTAAACAAGTGTTCAAGAGTTAGGAAACATTAGCCTGTTCTGCCAGTCTTACCACTAGAAGATCTGGACAGCTGTTAGCACATAGTATTTTATAAGTAAAACTTAAAATATTTTTCTTTCTGTTTTCTTTTTCATAGAGCGAGACAACTAACCAGCATCCTGGAGGTGGGTTTTTTACTTTTAAGAACTTGTTTGGGGGGGGGGGGGCGGCTGGGAATGTGGCTTAGTGGTAGAGTGCTTGCGAGGCATGCATATAAAGCCATGGGTTCGAGTCCTCAGTACTACATAAACAGAAAAAGCCAGAAGTGGCACTGTGGCTCAAGTGGTAGAATGCTAGCCTTGAGCAAAAAGCAGCTTAGGGACAGTGCCCAGGTCTTGAGTGTAAACCCCAAGACTGGCAAAAAAAAACCCCAACAACAACAAAGAAATTGCTTTGTATAAGAGGGAAGGTATGACATTGTCCAAAAAGAAATGTATTCTTTCACATATATAACTGTAACCTTTATGGACCATCACCTTTAAAATAACAATAAAAAAAAGAAAAAGGGGCTGGGAAGGTGGCTCAGTGGTAGAGCGCTTGCCTTACATGCATGAGGCCCTGGGTTCCATTCCTCAGCACCACATAAGCAGAAAAAGCCAGAAGTGGTGCTGTGGCTCAAGTGGTAGAGCGCTAGCCTTGAGCTGAAGAGCTGAGGGACAGTGCCCAGAATTCAGGCCCCTGGACCCAACAGCAAAAAAAAAAAAAAAGGGGGGGGGGACCTTTTAGATTAAAGGTGTGGTTCAAGCTGAGCACCAGTGGCTCACTCCTGTAACCCTAACTACTCAGGAGGCTAGGATATGAGGATTGCGGTTCAAAGCCAGCCGGGTTAGGAAAGTCCTTAAGACTCTTATCTCCAATTAACCACCAGAAAACCAGAAGTGAGCCCATGGCTCAAGTGGTAGAGCGGGAATGTAAGGCCCTAAAGTGAAGCCTCAGTACTGGAACATTAATCAGAGTAGCATGTCAGCAGACAAAAAAAGAATACTATGGAAATTCTTTTTTTTTTCCTCCCATGTTGTGGCATGAAGGGTAGCCACAGGTCTAACTGTTGGCAGGGCTGTGGCTTTACCAACATCATTAACCCTCTAAAGACAGAGCAGAAGACTGCTAGCGTGGCAATTAGTTATCCAACCCCCCTGCAAGGGTTTGGTCTTCCCTTATTTCCAGCGAGGGCATTTCTGCTATTTCTTTGAAAATAAACCACATTCTTTTCCTTGGCATAGCAGTGGCTTTGTTCTTCTCCGAAAAGAGAAGGGGTGACATAGTTCTGCAGTTGTCTCATTCCTTTGATCTCTTGTTCAGACTCTCTGGGCAGTCACTGTATTTGTTTTTTAGTCTTCTAGGCCAGGTTACCTTGATGCTAAAAATCCATTAGAATTGTCTATTATATTCTAGGGCAGAGAATTGGTTTGAGAGAGCATCAGAGAGGTTGAGTGGTTTTCCCAATCATATAATTTAAGAGTTTGAGCTGGGCTGGGAATGTGACTTAGCAGTAGAGTGCTTGCCTAGTATGCATGAAGCCCTGGGTTTGATTCCTCAGTACCACATACACAGATAAAGCCAGAAGTAGTTCTGTGGCTCAAGTGGTAGAGTGCTATCCTGAACAAAAGAAGCTCAAAGACAATGTCCAGACCAAGAGTTCAAGGCCTAGGACTGGCAAAAAAAAAAGAATAAGAAAGAAGAGTTTGAGGGTAAGACTCAAACTCTAATATCAGCATTGCCGCTAATGTTTTAGGAGCATCATTGGATTTGAAGAGTTGTCTGCAGCTACTTTTTTTAAAAAAGTATTCTACCCAACAGAAATGTGATAAAATGGATGGTATGAGCTGTAATCCAAATAAAATAAATTTCATTTACTAACTTTCTCTATTTTTCCTTTTCAGGTTTGAAAAGATGACTGGTCTCATTGGAAATGTTTCCTACTGATATACATGTCTACTTTATGCACCAAATAGGTTATAACCATTTAAAGACAGGTATCATCCACCTACTCTTTATTTTCACTTCAGGCATCATTGGCATGTTTATCTTCCTGTAGACCAGACTTTCAGAAATAAAACTGAGGACTAACATTGGTCTCAAGTATCTTGTAAAAAAAATAATAAAATACCTTGAAAACCTAAAACAAAATTTGGCACTTTGTGTGTGTGGTTTTTTGGTGGCCTGGCTGCTGTCCCTCAGCCCTTCAGCTCAGGAAGAGTGCTCTACCACTTGAGCCACAGCGCCACTTCTGGTATTCTGGTGGCTAATTGGAGATAAAAGTCTCACAGACTTTCCTTGCCTAGGCTGGCTTTGAACCTTGATCCTCAGATCTCAGTTTCCTGTGTAACTAGGATTACAGGCATGAGGCACTGGCGCCCAGCTATTTGGACACAGAAGGTCAGTAGAAAAAAAAAAAAAGCCTAATAAAAGTAACAGTTGATCCTATAGGAACCCCTTACTATATACTAAACTCTACATATCTAAGAAATTGGAGAGACCACACAGACCTAACTGAAGCCTGGTACAGTGATGAGCAGGCTTCTCCACCCTGTAGGGCACTTCCTCTTTCACTGTTTTGGCCCACAGCAGTGAAAGCAGAAGACTTGCTGCCACAGCACTGTTATTTGAAATCATTTTCAAAGTCATTTTGCAAAACTTTTATAGCGCCAGATCTGGGTAAGGCATCAGTTGATACTGTGTGTTCTGTTAAAAGTTGTCTTAAGGGCTGGGAAGGTGGCTCAGTGGTAGAGCGCTTGCCTTGCATGCATGAGGCCCTGAGTTCGATTCCTCAGCACCACATAAGCAAAAAAGAAAAAAAACGGAAGTGGCGCTGTGGCTCAAGTGGTAGAGCGCTAGCCTTGAGCTGAAGAGCTGAGGGACAGTGCCCAGGACGCAGAGTTCAGGCCCCACAACCGGACCAAAAAATAAAAATAAAAAAATAAGGAGCTGGGAAGGTGGCTCAGTGGTAGAGCACTTGTCTTGCATGCATGAGGCCCTGGGTTCAATTCCTTAGCACCATATAAGCAAAAAGAAAAAAAGCCGGAAGTGGTGCTGTGGCTCAAGTGGTAGAGCGCTAGCCTTGACTTGAAGAGCTGAGGGACAGTGCCCAGGCGCAGAGTTCAGGCCCCATGACGGGACCCAAAAATAAATAAATAAATAAATAAAAGTTGTCTTAAGCCAGATGCCAGTGGCTCACGCCTGTAATCCTAACTACTCAGGAGGCTGAGATCTGAGGACTGCGATTCAAAGCCAGCCTGTGCAGGAAAGTCTGTGAGACTCTTATCTCCAATAAACCAGAAGTAGAAAACCAGAAGTAGCACTGTGGCTCAAAGTGGTAGAGCAAGTGCCTTGAGCTGAAGAGCTCAGGGACAGTGCCCAGGTCCAGAGTTAAAGCCCCACCACTGACAAAAATAAAATAAAGTTATCTTAAAAGGTGGGAATGTGGCTCAGTGGTGGAGTGTTTGCCTAGCATGCGTGAAGTCCTGGGTTCAATTCTTAGTACCACATAAACAGAAAAGGCCAGAAGAGGAGCTGTGGCTCAAATGGTAGAGTGCTAGCCTTCAGCAAAAGCAGCTCAAGGACAGTGCCCAAGCCCTGAATTCAAGCCCCAAGACTGGCAAAAAAAAAAAAAAAGTCTTAAAATTTGTCTCTGGACTCAAAACATATGCAAGTCAAAACTCCCACAAAAAGGGGGCTGGGAAGTTGGCTCAGTGGTAGAGTGCTTGCCTAACATGCATGAGGCCCTAACATGATACAGGCGATAGGCAATCTTTACTGTAGAGCTTGTACATTTGGATTTTGAGCCTTCTAAACCATGAGCTAAATAAAACAAGTTAAGTGGCCTGTAGTTTGTTATAGTGATACAAGCCTAATACAGTCATCCATAAAAATAGGATCATTATTCCTATATCACAGCTTATTCGTTTCATTCACTTTAATCATTTACTCAATAAATATGGAGCACTTATTTCATGCCAGCTACTATTCTAGGAGAAAGTGATAAGAAAGGCTTTGCAGCTGTGAAGTTCTAGGCAATACTTTTACTTCAGATGGCTCTTTAGGTAATGCTCATTAAATTACCTAAAAGCATAGCAGAGATACCAGGAAAAAAACCTCTTGACGCTGAGCTAAAGAACATTGGGCAACAAGATGATCCTCAATCTCTTTAAAAGCTTCCCCCAAATTTAGCCCTGCAGGCTAATCTCTTCTGGTGGGTTAGTATTTCCAAGAATGACCTTCTTATTCAAAGAATTTACAGAATTGCATTTTTCAGAAGCTTCTAGATTTACCTCCTAAAAATAATCCTTTTGGCTGGGTACCAGTGGCTCATGCCTAAAATCTTAGCTACTCAGGAGGCTGAGATTTGAGGATTGAGGTTGGATGCCAGCCTGGGCAATAAAGTCCTAAGATTCTTCTCTCCAATTAATCAGCAGCAGACAAAGCCAACTGAGAGCACAAAGCACTGGGTTAAAGCTGCTTCTTTAGCTCATCATCCCCAAGGACCATATTTGGAGTTGTTTTCTGAGTCCCAACAATGGCTCCGAAGTAAACTTGATATTTCTAGCGCTGATGTGATTCTCTAAAATGCTTTTAAAAAAAATCTCTTTTTTCTTTCATGAGATTGTTTCTAACACATTTATAAGATGATTTCTTTGTTGCTTTGTATGTCCCTCCCCCATGGTATAAGCCCTGCTTTCACTGTATTTGATGTCGGTATAATTTGTGGAGGGGAAGGGGAAAAACAAATCATTTAAATAGGGATACAGGTGGACCCATTGCAACAATGAGAAGTACAAGTCGTTATGTCGAAAATGAACTTTACAACTTTGGGGAGGTGGGCAGGGAGGCGGGGAGAGGATGGGAAGGGATGGGAAGGGGAAACAAAGGAGGAGGCTACAATGCTTGATAAGAAATGTACTCATTATCTTGCCCATGTAATTGTAACCCCTCTGTACAGTATTTTCACAAAATAATAAAATAAAATAAAATAAAAAATCAAAAAAAAATCTCTAGGTAGAGCTGGGAATGTGGCTTAGTGGTCGAGTGCTTTCCTTGCATGCAATGAAGCCCTGGGTTCATTCGATTCCTCAGTACCACATATACAGAAAAGGCCAAAGTGGTGCTGTGACTCAAGCGGTAGAGGACTAGCCTTGAGCAAAAGAAGCTCAGGGACAGGGTACAAACCCCTGAGTTCAAGACCCAGGACTGGTTTTTAAAAAACCTTTAGGTAAAATTCCTCAAACCTCTGAAGTAGTAGTTACATTCCCGAGAAATTCAGCGTATGTGAGCTGGCCATATTAAGTGGTCAGCAGCAAATATTCAACCAATGAAATAATAGTGTGTGTGTGTGTGTGTGTGTGTGTGTGTGTGTGTGTGTGTGTGTGTGTGTGTGTGTGTGTGTGTGTGTGTGTGTGTGTGTGTGTGTGTGTAGAGGTTAGGACTTAAGTTGGGAGCCTGGCCTTTAGCTCCTAAATACTTCAACTAGTATCACTGGAATAACCAAAGTATTCCATGAATTCTCCACCTCATATAGAGGGGTAAAGTGCCTAGTCTTGGTTGAGAACCACTTGTTTACAGTGAAGAACTGCTTATGTAATCTCTAGAGAAGGGGTGGGGCAGAGAGCAATATCCACCCCTTCCTTTCTCAGAGAGTGCTAGGCTTAGAGGAAAGAGGAAAATAAGGACCAGGGACGTCTCCTTTCTAATCTGAAGTGGAGGATTTTGGCGGGAGACCGGCGGTAAGCCACCTTGGGCTGGGTTTTGAGTGGACGGTGCTTGTCAAGACTTGGCACTCCTTCAACCTGCTTTGGGACCTTGCTTCTGCTCCCCGGGCACTCTACCCCTCCTTCTGCTTCTTCCTGTGTATTCAACTGCTCTCCCTGGCTCCCTGCCAAATACACATACATGCATGCACACACAAATAGACATCCACGCATACACATGCATGCATGCAGGCACAAAGGCATTGTCCTTCCTGGACCACAGTAGACAGGAAGTGGGGGGGAATTTCAGCTCAGCTGGGCCTTATCTGGACCTAAATAAGCCAAGTAACAATGGGCTGGATCATTTCCTTTTCATTAATTCTGGAGTATCTGCTCCTGCAGAACTGGGAAAGGTAAGACAAAATACCTGGATTATTGGACTGTTGTATATATGGGGACTTCTATTTTCTGGGGGTGCCCAGCTTCTTCAAATAGCCCTTTCCCAGTGCTGATTAGGAAGGAAGAACAGGCCTGTCAGAAAATGCAGAGGGGAAGGCAGACTCCGTCGGAAGCAGGTGATTCAGAGCCTAAAAGGGAGCGCTGCCATAATAGGTTCTCTCATACAGATGGGGGAGTGCTAGGTGAGGCACCTATCTCTGGGATCCACTTATTTTTTGAGGGGGAGAGAGACTTCTCCACCAGGTTCTAAGGGGCCTGCATCTAAATCCACAGCTGTCACATTTCTATCATGTATTTACAAGGTTGTATAACTATCATCTCAATTATGAAGGGAAGCAATTATGTACTAGAAAGTAATTAACTAGAAGAAAATTATAGAGGTAGTAAAAGTTCTCCTTAAAAAGAAGATTCGGGGCTGGGAAGGTGACTCAGTGGTAGAGCGCTTGCCTTGCATGCCTGAGGCCCTGGGTTCAATTCCTCAGCACCACATAAGCAAAAAGAAAAAAGCCCGAAGTGGCACTGTGGCTCAAGTGGTAGAGTGCTAGGCTTGACCTGAAGAGCTGAGGGACAGTGCCCAGGCCCAGAGTTCAGGCCCCATGACCGGACCCAAAAAAAAAAATAAAAAAATAAAAAGAAGAGGGGAGGGGGGAGGCTGGGAAGGGATGTGAAGGGTAAACAAAGGAGGAGGCTGCAATGCTTGGTAAGAAATGTACGCATTATCCTGCCCATGTAATTGTAACTCCTCTGTACGGTATTCTCACAAAAAAAAAAGAAAGAAAGAAAAAGTGGAAGATGGGGCTGGGAAGGTGGCTCAGTGGTAGAGCGTTTGCCTTGCATGCATGAGGCCCTGGGTTCGATTCTTCAGTAGCACATAAGCAGAAAAAGCCGGAAGTGGCACCATGGCTCAAGTGGTAGGGGGCTACCCTTGAGCTGAAGGGCTGAGGGATGCGAGCCCCCAGGCCCAGAGTTCAGGCCCCACTACCAACCAAAAAAAAAAAAAATCTAGAAGAGGCTCAAGTGGTAGAGTGCCATCCTTAAGCAAAAGAAGCTCAGGAACAGTGGCCAGGCTCAGGGACAGTGCCCAGTCCCAGAGTTCAAGCCCCAGGACTAGCAAAAAAAAAAAAAAGATTTGGATTGCCTCAAAGCATCCAAAGTGACAACGGCCAAGCATCATTTCCTGAATCACACAAGATGTAGCCAAAGCTTAGGGAATTAACTGCCACCTACATTCTGCCTGGAGGCCCCAAGCCTCAGCAAAGGTGGAAAGAGACAACCAAAAGACCTCAGACAATTGGTTCACTCTCATGTCTATTGCCCTGTTCAGGATAATAAATACTCCCAGACCTCAGATTCAACTCATTCAACTTAGGAAATGGCAGAAGGCAGGCCATTCCTTTTCTAATGACTGTTGACCCGGAGATCAGTGGCTTGGTAAGGTATGTCTCACTCACCTGGGACAATTCCTAATGAACTATTAAAGAGCAGGGAAAAGGTCATCCCTAAACCAAAGAGGAAAGGGGAGAGCTTCAGATTAGACTAGGGGAACAGGTGCTCATTTACATGTAGAGCCAAGGGTCCTCTTAGATCCACTACAGTATAAATGGAAAGGACGCCATGGAGCCATCAAAGTACAAAGAGTGAACAGTTGGGATTCCTTTCTCCAGGGCTAAGTCCATACAGAAGAAATTCCTCTGACCAGGTGGGACTGAAGGATATCACCAGACATGATGTTAGGCGCAAGGTATCCTAAGGTATCTCTTGTTTTGGCTTGTAGTTATCCTTGGTGTCCTTTTAATACTGAACTGATGCATAAAGGAGTTGATTTAGTTGGTTAAGATTCTCTTTTCAACTAAAACTAAGAAGGTCTATCCTCTGGTGACACTCACCATGATACCTCTCTAAGCCCTTCTCTAGATAGCCTGTACGTTCCCTGTGGCCCAAATACTATCATGGATAGAAGTAATGGCAACAGCTTTCAGTCTCACATACTCCTGGATCAGAGAAGGACGGAACAGGAACAGAAGTCCTGGCTCCTTTGTCAGTATAGCCAATTGTGAATGTCATCTGCTTCATGCAAGTTTTATAGCAGTCTCTGATAATAGAAAGTTTGTTTCTTATGGCCTCTGTAGAGGAGTCTGAGCAGAATTCTTCCTTTCTTCATTGTCCGATGATAGCTCTCGGCTCTTTTTTAGTGACTGACTCTGCCCTTGCAAAAGATGTTAAATTCCCCATGTATTTTGAAAACTCTACCTACCTAAAATCAGGCAGCCCATGGGTAACTTTAAGATCACCCAGTATGACTTCACCTTTCAGGTGATTACTATAAGTAGGGAACAATACTAGAATTCTACCTATGAGAAACAAGTGTGCAAGTTAGGACAAGGTTTTCTAACCATGGGAAGGCCCAATTTTGTTTTTTGCCCGTCATGGGGCCTGAACTCTGGGCCTGGGCGCTGTCCCTCAGCTCTTCAGCTCAAGGCTAGCGCTCTACCACTGGAGCCACAGCGCCACTTCTGGCTTTTTCTGTTTATGTGGTGCTGAGGAATAGAACCCAGGGCCTCATGCTTGCAAGGCATGCACTCTACCGCTGAGCTACCTTCCCAGCCCGAAGGCCCAATTTTGTACCAAAGAAATTAAAACCTGTCAGGCAGGATGGATTTCAGTAAATTTTTGTTGTCAGTCCCTCTGGCAAAGGGACTGCCAAAAGCATTCTCCCTGCCCCCCCCCTCTTTTTTTCCTTTTCTTTTTCCTTAAGACCTATCCAAATGAGGGCAAGGTCATTACATCTTCAGAAATGCTGTAAACTGGGCTCGAGATGTGGCTCAGTGGTAAGAGTGCTTGCGTAGCATGCATGAAGCCCTGGGTTCGATTCTATTGTACCACATAAACAGAATAAACCAGAAGTGGTGTTGTGGCTTAAGTGGTAGAGGGCTAGCCTTGAGCAAAAGAAGCTCAGGGGCAGTGCCCAGTCCCTGTTATCAAGCCCCAGGACTGGCAAAAAAAGAGAAAGGAAGGAAGGAAGGAAGGAAGGAAGGGAAAAACTGCAAACTTCCATTAGTATCATTTGATACAAGCTTAAGAGGAGCCTTCCCTGAAGACAGGGGAGTTCTAGCTATAGATAATCATTAGTGTTGGGTCCCGCATAGGAGCTACTCTTCAGTTGTAACTCAGCCTATGCCCTTCCTAGCAATTGGGAGGGAAAGTGCTCCTTAGCCCACTCCCTCCCTGATTCAGATATGCTAATGGAACTGCTGGTAGCCCAGATTTGTAATAGCAAAAGACAACACAATGCCAATAGTGGGTAGCAATAGCACCAATGCTAGTGCCCTTAATTTGTAGGATCTTGAGACTGGAACAACCATGAGAAGCATTTCCATGTACACGTTAGCACAACTTGCCAAGGCACTCAAAGAACTAACAGAGGCAAGGTACACTGACCCAACAAGTTGATTCATTGGCAGTCATTGTTTTACAAAATAGAAGGGCCCTATTAATCTGTGATGCTGAAAATGCATGTTTCTACCTAAGGAGGAATGTTGCTCTGATGGTATTATCTTTTTTTTTTTTTTGGTACTGTCATGGGGCCTGAACTCTGGGCCTGGGCGCTGTCCCTCAGCTCTTCAGCTCAAGGCTAGCACTCTACCACTTGAGCCACAGCACCACTTCCGGCTTTTTTTCTTTTTGCTTATGTGGTGCTGAGGAATCGCACCCAGGGCCTCATGCATGCAAGGCAAGCACTCTACCACTGAGCCACCTTCCCAGCCCCCTGATGGTATTATCTTAAGAACAGTCTTGGGTTGTATAAATCAAGCCTGTGATAGAATAGATAAGGTGAAGGTATGAATAGTGGGATTCCTTTACGGTCCAACTCTTAAAATGGCTGTGGCTACTAATCACTCTTTTATTCCTCTTCATCTTCCTCAGTTTGGACCATGTCTGCTGCAAATCTGTATTGATCTCATCACGCACCAGGTCACAGTTTCACATGGACAATCTTCCTCCTATAAGGATTTCAACCTATGCCCAAAGCAAGATTCTTATCTCCAATCAAACACCAAAAACACCAGAGGTGAAGCTGTGGCTCAAATGGCAGAGTGCTAGCTTTCAGCACAAAAGCTCAAGGACAGCATCTAGACCTTGAGTTCAAGACCCAGGATGGGGGGGGGGGGCAGTGGGGACAGACAGACAGACAGGCAGGCAAGCAGGCAAAGACAGAGACAGAGACAGAGAGAGGATGGGCTGGGGTTAGTTAGCCATTCCAGTCAGGTATTCTCTTTCTCTTATGTAAGTGATGATCAAACCAACTGTCAAACTGTCATGGAATCTTCCAGACCTCACTCTAGCCTTGCTCTTTTCTCCAGCTTCTGAGTTTTGGCTCCAACTTTCGTGGGCTCTGAGCCCATTCCTAGAAAACAAGCTGGTCTAGGACTTCAGGTCTGCTGCAGCCTAGGCCTGCTAAGCTGATCCAAGTAGCCTGCTTCTGCCCCCTAGTGGTCGAACGATCAAGTGTCGTGGAGGTTAGTTACTCTTTGCCAACAACTTTATACTAAATAGTGTAAATCTTAATAACTGCTTTTACTGCTTTTAATCCATAAAAATAATTATTTTTGTGCTGGTATTAAGTTTCAATTCAAGGCCTTCCGCTCCTACGTGACCTTCTTACTCACATCCGACTACCACTTGAGCCTCACTTCTAGTCCCAGTTTCCAATTCTCACAAAGTTTAATTTCATTATATATACACTAATTATTAAGATCATATTCTAATTTCAATATCATAGGACCTTTTAGGTTTGTTCCTATCCTGCTTTGTTCCTAGTTTTTGAAGCAAGCAGGGCTCTAACATTTCTAGAGAGAAAAAATATACTGTTGCTTTTTTTTTTGGTCGGTCGTGGAGCTTGAACTCTGGGCCTGGGCGCTGTCCCTCAGATCTTCAGCTCAAGGCCAGTGCTCTACCGCTTGAGCCACAGCACTGCTTCCAGTTTTCTAGTGATTTATTGGAAATACCAGTCTTACGGACTTCCCTACCCGGGCTGGCTTTGAACCTAGATCCTCAGATCTCAACCTCCTGAGTAGCTAGGATTACAGGCGTGAGCCACCGGCGCCCAGCTGACTGTTGCTTTTTCTGTTCTCTCTCCGTACCCTCCCTCCTTCTCTCCCTCTTCTTTATTCCTTCCTTCCTTTTTTTCTTTCTTCTTTCTTTCTTTCCTTTTCCCTCCTTCCCTCCCTCCCTCCCTCCATTCCTTCCTTCCTTGCATCCTTCTTTCCTTCCTTCCCTCCCTGGGTCTTAGGAAGACTCATCTCCTCCAGTTAATCAACAAAATGCCAGAAGTAGAGCTGTGGCTCAAAGTGGTAGCATGCTACCCTTGAACAAAAGAGTTCAAGGACAGTTACAGGCCCTGAGTTCAAGCCCCAGAAACAACAACAACAACAAAGGGTAATAAATAGCAAAAGAGAAGCTGAGAATAAAACTCTCAACTGAGAAATCATTTGGTTGCCTACTCCTACTCTTTCTTCCCTTGCTGTGGTTCTCTGTTAAAGCTTAAATAGGGCCATAAACCATAATGTTAGAAGACACTAGCTAGTGCTGGTGGCTCATGCCTATAATCCTAGCTACTCAGGAGGTTGAGATCTGAGGATCAAGGTTTAAAGCTGGCCTGGGCAGTAAAGTCCATGAAACTCTTATCCCCAATTAACTACTAAAAAAAGCTAGAAGTAGAGCTGGCACAATACACACATATACATACACACACATTATTTGGACTGTTTTTACAAAAGAGAGATTATGGTGTTTGTACTCTATTTCCATCAATTTTCAGCTCTTTTAGGAATGGAACCAACCATCCTGGGAAAACTCATTTAAACTATTCTTTCCCAAAGGTATCATCCATGACTTCCTCCCACATCAATGGAAACTACATTGAAGGGAGTGATACAGGCTTCCATATACCCTCGAAGACGATGATACAAGATATCACTATGGAGCTTCATTGCTCACTGTGTAAAGAATGGTACCGTGACCCACTGATGCTAAGCTGTGGCCACAACTTCTGTCAAGCCTGTATCAAAGAGTTCTGGAAGTTGCAAACTAGAGAAACATTCTGCCCTCAGTGTAAAATGCTATGTCAGCACAGCAACTGTACTTACAATCTTGTGCTGGAGAAGCTGGTAGAGAAGATCAAGAAATTACAATTAATAAAAGGTCAACCACAGTGTCCGGAGCATGGAGAGACTCTGAAACTGTTCAATAAGCAAGAAAGAAAACTGATGTGCTTTCAATGCAAGGATATACGTATATCTATGGGAGAATCCAAGGAGTTCCTGCAAATCAGTGATGCTTTCCGTATCATGTCGGTGTGTAAGTCCTGGGCTTTGGGCAATCCCAACGTTAGGAAAAAATCTTTTGCTGGGCTTCTTCTCTCTTTCAACCCCTCTCCTTTGTTCAAATAATGACCAGAAAGCTCAGAGTGCTCGGAATATCTTATAAAGTTCTTTCTCTATAGGTGTTACATATAGGAAAGGGCAAGCTGGCTGATGACCTCACTCATACAAGGTGTAGAAAGAATATGGACATAAAAGAAACTGCTCTTGTTTATAAAAGCTCCCAATTCTGGTCAGGTTTAGGACAAATGTAACAACAGAATATGAGATAGTCTACTATAGAGAGTTAGATTTCTACCACATTTTTTTTTTTTGGGTCCAGTCATGGGGCCTGAACTCTGGGCCTGGGCGCTGTCCCTCAGCTCTTCAGCTCAAGGCTAGCACTCTACCACTTG